TCGCGAAGAAATGACGCTCGAAAATGTTTTTTTTTCACGTCGTTCAGCATTGACAACTACAATGAGTACAAACGGATGATGATTTGTCGGTCATATGAAAATGTGAATAGAAAATCATATCGTGCACCTCATTCAAGTGATCAAGATATGTAAATGGTCCCGTAGAAACATTGTCAAACACCGCAAGTTCATGTTGTCATGTCTGTGAATTGACCGGGGCATTTGTGGCACTGGAGCTTAGCTACGATGATCAAGCGCAACAGGGCTTTGTGACATGTTGGTACTACAACCTGTTTTTCACGGTCGAAAACAGTAACGTTGCCAATCTGTCGACTGATTTGCGAAATCCAAATTTCATTTTGAATCGTGCCGTCAATCATTTCGAAAACGTATAAATTTCATAACATGTGACTAATTTTCGGTCATTGTGATTGGTCGAGGCTCTGATCAGAGCATAGCTGACAGGGTGATTCCTTCGCTGTCCTGACTGGCAGTTTTGGGTTCCACACATGAAAGGAGCATTGACATTTTCTGAGGATCATCAACCTGCTTCCAGTGGTTCACCAGACCAACTGGTCATTTTTCAATGCTGAAGCAATCAAGGATAATATTTGCTTCTTATGACTGTCGCTGTCGGATTACCCCGAATACGAAATGGATGTGCAACGAGCATTGGCTTGAGGGCCTTGTCTACGCTAATGGGGAAGAAGGCGAAAATGTTGCCAGCTATGTATTCCTCGGATAAGGAGGTGGAAGTACAGGCAGGAGTAATATTTCTGTTCCGCAGGAAAAATTATTCCATAGCACTGACGTCACCCTTGAACAGGTGAATGATGTCCATGCTTGGTAGGCAAGCTGATCATGGGCAAACGGTCATCCGTTATTTTATAACGAACTTTTCGCTACGAGTACTGCTGCAGTTATGAAAGATTTTCAAATGGACATACTTTGGACGTTGCTCAACGACCTTCTGGGGGATTTTTATCCAGAGGTTTCCATGAGCATCAGAGAGAGTACCACTGAATAAAATTTTATTCATCAAATGAGCAATTTATGTTAATGAAATAAGGTTCCTGTAATGTCCATCTATCTTCCTTTTCACTACTGTTTACTCCATCCTTCGAACTCCTGATGTGGGAATTTAGAAGACTTCGACTAGGCTAGCATGAACATGAAGGAATTATTTAAAAGGGACCTGACTTCGGAGAGGAATTGTTCCTTCTACGATGCCGTAACCGTTACCTTCTGTTAAATTCATCTGAGACTTATTCCCTCAACAAAAAACAACAAAACTAAACAAAATTTACTGAGACACGGATTATCAAAATCGGCTTTTTTTAATTTGTTAGTGATATTTATGATATGCCTTTTATGCTAGTTTTTTAATCCAGGAGAGCGGAATTTGCAATGAGAGGACAAGCTATAACCAGAGCAAAACTTTCACTGCGAGAAAAATATTTGCTATTTGGAAACAAAACTAAGTGGCAGTTACATTTTATCTACCAAACAAACCTTTCCTATTACATGTTCTGGTTGACAATACATTTTACTGTCTTTTAATAGAGACATAATAATACAGTCTCCAGGTCATTACAGATCACATGCAAATCAACGTTAAGCAACGTCAAGGAAGATATCTCCAAGTGAGTGCTTATCTGCAAGATTAAAACGAGGTCTCCACAATCCATGATAAGTTGGACCTCTACTGGTGCAACTGTGTCGGATGGTCAAGTGGATACACGTAGAATTGATTCGAACAAGTTTGTTGCAGGTCTTGATCGAGAAATGTCCAACATCGTTAGATGCGGTGCTGCTAAAACGGTATGGTTTTCGGCGGTCACACGTTTCATTTTGCCATGACCATTAAAATCTTACCCAAGATACTCAGGTACGTCGGTCTTCAGAGCATGGTTGTGGCCGGTTAATAGTATGAACACATTCGCAACCCTTTCCGGATAATTTTCGCACACTAAACGTCCCCAGATCACAAGACACTTGCCGTATGTGTTGGCCTTCGAAGAATGCAGTACCATCATGGACAGCAAAGCGAACAACAAAAATGTCATTTTAATGGAACATGAATCTACAAAAGGCGTGTTTTAGTTATGACGATAATGCTCCATATGAAGCATGAAACATGAGCAACGTTACGTGCAATGTGAACTTGGTGACGTTCCTCAAAAGACCTCTCAGAATTCAGCTGAACAGACAAAGTACGACAGAGCAGTCAGTACACTAAAGCTGTTATATGTTCAATCCTTTATCTTCTGGGCCTAGGCAGATCCTAGTTTAGACCTAGGCGAACTGGCTGTATTCAAAATCTGGTGTACTGTTCCATGGAATGAACAGTCGATACAATGAGAGTTAAGACAACCGATCGAGAAGAAGAACTTTCATTGCCATGGCACAAAAGTCGATTGATATTCCGCTGCATTTTAGCTAGTTCATTGTCGATTGTCGTTATCAGGTGTATCGGGGGCAATACAAGTTTCTTGAAGAGTAAATTATTAAAGATTTATGACAAGCTGAATCATTCCTTTACAAAAAGGTTACGTAGTTTAGAAAAAGACTTCCGCTCTTACTCCTTCTGTTGCTTCATAACTTCAACCAGGAGCACTAATTTCTATCTGGCTATTTTCATCATTTTCAAAATTTAGTGATATTGTTAGCATCACCCCTAATTTTTATAAATTATCTTTATACTCAAATGCTAAAAATCTATGAAAATCATAATAAAAAAGTCTGTATCATTTTTAGAGATTCTTCAGGCATTTACGGTGCATTGCGCAATGCATTCGTTCTAAAGCTCAATTTTCGATTTATCAACTCGTTACTGCAATACACAAGTGTCCTTTGGTCGATTATGCAAATTACCAGGGCAACGGGTTTATTCTGACCCTTTTATCATGCAAACGAAAAATTAGCTTTACGATTATCTGAACGTTATTCATAGATGCATACCGGAGGAAAAATTAAACTTGCTTAAGCACCTCTTATTAGTCATTAGATGCTGGCTACCTGTTATTCAACGTAACTTTAGTATGGACAGACTAAAATATGGCCGTACTCCACTGACTTTCCAAAACAGAATAGAAGGAAATATATTGTTTTCTAGTATTCTTTGTTCACAAAGGTTATCAGGTATCTTAACGGTAGACTGCCTGATGAATGATTAAGCATAGCGTTACTGAAACAGTTGAGTGTACGAGCCTTGTTTGTGGTTGAGGAACATCGAGGACACAATTCGCAAACAATGCTGATTTAGTTTGAGTCGTCGCGCGGCAGACAAAATGCTTGAAGAATGTCATAAGTTTCATGTATTTGTGTTCCAAGAAAGTACTGTGTTTTATACACGATACGCACGGAATTACGTTTAACGAGAGTCAGACGCGCCAATCGTGAAACGAGCAGGAATTCAAGGACAGACAGAAACTCATACGTTATTACTGTGAATAAGTGTATTTACGTCTAAACTTAAGGACCTTCCGGCCATGATGCTCGACGATCTGCTTTAAACAGATGCAAAATGTATGACCAACTTTATACCTGACTCTACCACTCGGAGACCGTCACTGGATAGGAGACAATATGAATCTGCTGAGGGCAGCCGGCTCTAAAGTTTTCTTCTTTGGAAATGCAAAGTTCGGTGCTGTTCTCCACGGGTTCTGAATGTAAATATATTATGACACTTCCAAGTTGTGCATGCCACGGCAGAAGAAGCAGAAAATTTCTACGTACCATTTTAATCATTCGACAGCCCAAGGATTAAACATAAATTTGTAGCCGATTTACCTGACAATGGAAGATGGCTAATTAATAATGCAAATTTAAATTTTGCTATCCAAAGCACGGTCATGTTTAATGTAAATATTCAAATTCACTCAGTTTTTCTAAGTAAAAGTTCATCCTTTTCACACAGTGGGCTTTAAGCAGTCATCGACAGCCGTTTTATAGGATAAACTGTGAAAGAAACTCTGAAAGAAGCATAGAACATGAGGTACGTTGTTGTGAAGCAAAAAATCTAGTTGCTAAAGACCTCAATAATATTATCATGTTGTACATAGATGTGACGAATTTTTCATTTTCGACTTTTCAGTCAGCGTCTCGTCAACTTTTTTTCAGTATCAGAATGATTGTACTTTGGTTGCTCTTCTCATCATTTGCAAGAACTTGATTTTCTGTTAAAGCATAGTAAGACGAGGACAGGAACAACCAAAAACAGCCATCCATAGGTTCGATCTGAAAAAAGCACTAGCTTAGCAAACTATTAAGTCATGCCATTGTTGCACTATCTTTTCAGTGAATGTGAAAAACTGCCTTTGCCTATCAAATGATTGTTAATTTTTAGAACTCCTTGTGTGATGGTCGTACTGCTGCTGATAGCACTGGCCATCCTTGACATGACATCGTGTAACCATCAATGCCTCACGGTGATTGGTAAGGTGAAGTGTTCAAAAGATTCGAAGCTGGTTTCTGATCTTCTGGTGACAGTGTTGAATTTCAGAAACGAGAATGGGTAATGCGTTTGCTTCTCGTGGTCACAACAGAAGTCAAAGTCTATAGTTGTGTTTTTCAGTGAGACTCGAACCAACCCTAATGGTGATTTTGAACTTACCGGCTGTGGCCAGCCTGTCGAAACGGAGCCTGGTAGTGGAACGAATCTTCCGCCTTACTTGCAGATCTTTCACAAGTGTAACGGACCTAAATATCAGATTCTGACAGTCGGTCAGCCACTTGAATATGGTAAAACAAATCTCATCGAAAACATCCCGCTAGACAATAATTGAATAAGCAAGATCAAATTAAGAAGTTTTTCCTAATCCGTTAATATTTCTCTTCAAAAGCGCAACTATGTATATACGGGTGTATATGCCGTAGGCAATTAATACTCCCGGTGGAACGAAATTGGATTTGTACACAAGTTTAGAGTTGACACTTTTTTGCATGGATTGTACTTCCTTTTGGAAGGCCTGTGATTTTCAGACAAAACTCACTTGTTGATCGGCTGACTAGCACTGTGCAAATAATTGCTTCGTTGTCTGTTTTACACTGTCTGTTCGTGCAATCATAACAGCAAATTTTTTGAATGTGTATTTTGAAGAATAAAGCGACTCGTCAGTCTATGTCTGCTCACAACCAGTTTGAACGATAATGTGCCGGAAGCTAAAACTGACCCAAAAGAGAACCATATTCATCGATTTTAAAACAGAAAGCAACAATAAACTCGCTATCATTCTGTTTCAGTCGAAGAAGTGAGAGGTTGTTGCTAACACATGTTGCAAACCACAATTTTCCTCTGTTTCTGCCCATTGATCCTCGCAAAGGCGAACGTTGGCTATAAGGATGTGCAGGATCACTCAGAAATGGGAAGAGATGGTAATAAACTTTGTTCACTTATGAAGAAGAAGGGTTTGATTTGATCTGTGGCAAAAAATACGCTGCTAACTGAAATTCTATCATTCATATGAAACATTGTCTGCAACCTCAAACCAAAAATTTTATCTTGTAATATTTTAATCATGGTTTTATCGGAGAAAAAACTACTTAATCAGGGCTGCCATGCAGTGCAGATCCAAAAGAATTTAATATCTCAGAAAAGCACTTCGCCACATGTTTTTCTGCGAAATCTTTCACTGGCTAATTAGCCTTGTTTATATAACTGCCTTAAACGATGAAACACCTCTTTGCTTCTCTAAAGTAGAAAAGACAGCAAGACGATAAGGCGATTTTTTTTCTGAGTTGTGCGATAAAGTCAAACTACGACAAATTCTTTCAATGGTAGAGTTCTTACTCTATAAACTTTCCCATTCTCGGGAGTGTGATAGTAATATAAGCAATTAAATAAACATGATCAAAAATTTAAGGGCTATTCAGTAAATGAGTACTGATGTTTAAAGTTACATTTCCTCGACGAATGTCCTTTAAAATAATAATAATTTGACATAAGTTGTTCATCGAAATAAATGAAATAATTGAAATAAGTTTATTGCGATTCCGCGTTACATTTCAAACTGCAACCGCGTACCTTCGTCTCGAGTCCAAAATCATTTGTGATGTTGGTTACTGTAAAAATAAATGCAAGTTCCATTCTTTAAGTATGTCAAGTGTACCGCATTTTATTCTCATTTTCAGTCCGATCGTAATCTCTGTGCTAGTTTTATACAGTTACACTGTCTGGCTGTTATTTTGGCATCATTGAAAGATTATTGCCATTTCTCGCATCTGCTTATTCCCTGTCAAAAATTTGCCAATACTTTCTAGCCATCGAGATGCATGAGTTT